CTGCTCAGAGCAGGTACTGTGTCTAATTGATATAAAGCACTGGCATGCTAGCTGTGGCCCAGCCCAGGGATCTTGTCTAGATCAGACACTGTGATCCCTGCCACCGGCCCCTGCCTGTGAATAATTCAGAAACAGGAAGCTTATCATTTGCCCCTCTTGGGCTTAGCCTTGCCATGTTCCAGTTTCCACTTGGACTTCTTTCTTTTAGCTGTTAGGTACAAGTGGACACAGGCCTGAGGCACACAAGGGCATCATCTATATGCCTTGCCTTTCCTAGGCGCCCCCCCCCCCGTCTGTCCACCTGTCTGTCTCTACCCTGGCAAAATCAGAATCTATTGCAGAGCAGAAGACAGATTGCTTTCCCCTCTTTAAAAGTTTCTATTCTGCCTCTGTTGACCTATCATCTCAATACATACCCCTAGACCCAAGTGCCTGAGTGACAGCAACACCTTGCACTATGAGAAAGGTTCCTCGTACCTCCTCTGTTTTTGTTTTGTTTTGTTTTGTTTTTGTTGAGACAGAATCTCATATACAGCCCCCCTGAACTCACTATGTAGTCAAGGATGACCCTGACCTTCTGATCTTCCTGCTTCTCCCTCTCAAAATGCTAAGATCACAGGTATGTACCACCACCTCTGGTTTTATGTGGCACAGGGGATTGAACCCAGGGCCACCTGCATGCTAGGCAAACACTCTACCAACTGGGCTACATCCCCAGCTCCCCACACTGGTTCACTGTACCCCTTCTTCAAGGAGTCTGAGAGGTCCTGGTGGACAAGGCTCTGAGTGGGTGGTATTACAGACCAAAAGAATAGCACATGGCGAAAGTGGGGAAGTTTGGATAGGTATGTAGCACACTTGGAAAAAGCATTGGAATAGAGAGAGAGAGAGAGAGAGAGAGAGAGAGAGAGAGAGAGAGAGGCAGAGAGATTTCCATGCAAACCTTATGAAGATATTTTTTGGCCAGATGTGGTGTTGCACACCCGGGAGACAGAGGCAGGCCGATCTCTGTGAGTTCAAGGCCAGCCTGGTTTACATAGCAAGTTCCAGGCCAGCTGAGGCTGCAGGGAAACCCTGTCTCAAAAAGACCAAGAAAAATAATAATAAAATAAAATAAAGATGTTTTTCAAGAAGAAAAATAAAACTACACACAGGAAAATCCCTTGTGCTACCTCTTCTTCCTGTTTGGTTGAAAATGTAAAATAAAGAGGAACAGAAGTTATCCATAATGCTAGACTTCCCTTTAGCTCAGAAACCTACTGCCCATATTTACATCGGTGGGTCTCTGTTACCATGGTTTCATCAAAGACTGGAGGAGGCAAAGGAGCACGCTAATAGCAATTAATGGCCATGAGCAATCAGTTGGACTTTCAGCCCATGGTTTCCTGGCCTTGTGTATGAGGAACACATGAGGAAGTTCTGTCCTGAAGACTCTACTTAACTGTGAATGAAAGCATTTCATGGCTGTGTATGTCTGAGGTCACGGCACAAAGTAAGTCTTACCCAGTAGGTTAAGGGTTTACAGACCTGGTAGTGAAATCTCTGTGACAACAATGATAACACATCAGGCTTTCGTCATTAGATGGGACTCCACAGCAGAGCTGACCGAACAAGGTAATCTGGTGAAGTTTCAAGGGAATAAGGTTTCTCAGCTTCAACACTGCCAACATTTGAGGTTAGACAGAGAGAGAGAGCGAGAGTGAGCGAGAGAGGGAGCGAGAGAACAATTCTCTGCTGTGGAGGCTTCCCTATCTCCTATAGAGTGGTGAGCAGCATCCCTGGCCTCCAACCACTAGATGCCTGTAGCACTCAGTTGTGATAATGAAAAAAAAAAAAATGACCCCAGACATCCTAGTGTAATAGTTTTGATATGGTTTAAGTATACCCTCCAAAATGTCTTGTACTGGGAGCTTGGTCCCAGCCTGGTGGTCCTGCAGTTGTGGAACCTGTAAGAGTGGAACCTAATGGGGGGCAATTAGGTCATTGGCACTCTGCTCTGGGAATGGATTACTGCAGTTCTCATGGTAGCCCAGTTAGTGGGTTGCCATGTGCTGTCTTCTAAAACGGATCCTGCCATCATGATGCAATCTACCATGAGGCCCTCACCAGTGGCTGGACAGAGGGGACTACCTGATCTTGAACTGCCAGTCTTGAAAACTGAACTAACAGTGCTTCACATCTTTATAAAATACCCAATCTCGCCAGGCATGGTGACACACGCCTTTGGTCCCAGCACTCGGGAGGCAGAGGCAGGCAGTTCCCTGTGAGTTTAAGGCCAGCCTGGTCTACATAGTGAGTTCAGGTCAGCTGGGACTACAGGGAGACTCTGTCTCAAAAAGACAAAAAAAAAAACCCCAAACAAACCCAATCTCAGTACTTTGTTACAGCAATAGAAAATAGACTAATGCATCCAGTTAAGCAAAACCCTTCTAGTGATTAAAAGCAAGGACTCGAGTCAGACTGCCATGATTCCAAACCCAATGCCTGCAACTTGTATGAGAATCGACTGAGTTAATAAACATGACAGGAGGGCACTTGGAAGGCAGAGGCAGGAGGATCTCTATGAGTTTGAGGTCGGACTAGTCTACATAGTGAGTTCCAGATCAGCTGGGGCTACAGGAGACCCTGTCTCAAAAAGACCAACCACCCCCACCAAAAACAAAAAAACAAAACAAACAAACAAAAAAACATGACAGGAAGATGACCTGTATGCTTATGGACTCCAAACCAGGACACTGTCTCCTCCAAACATGAGGTACTTAGAAGTTAAAAGAATTCAAATAATAATTTCAGACACTGAGACTGTGTTAGCAAAGTGGGCTATCTGATCAGCCTGTAAGTCCAGATAGTGAATTGAGTAAAGAGCTGAACCAAATGCTCCCTGTATGAACGATTATTATAAACATCATATAGAGAAGCTCCCTTCAATCTTCCCAAACCCTTCGAGGTCGGTCTCACTACTGTTATCTCATGGTATATGTGGGAGCATTGAAACATGAAGAAGCCCAAAAATACATGATAAATTGCACAGCCAGGACTGTGGTCCAGGCAGTCCAGTTTCTAAGTCTGTGTTCTAAACTAGTGACTGTCTGTGCTCCCAGGGAAGCAGTGTTACTTAGCGTGTCAGAGTCTGCATATACTGCTAGCTCTAGGTAAGCTCTAAATTTCTAACCTTAGATTCACAACATCAGGAAGCAGGATTACTGTGATAAAAATCATGCAGCAGGAAATGAAGGTGGTGGTGCCCAACTTGATTCCTGGTTTTGAAAAGCTGGTCAGGGCTCAAAACGTACATCTATTCCAGTAGGGCAGTCACTGGTAGGATGGAAAGTCTTAAGACAGGCAGTTCTTTTGGTCTAGGGGTGATGTGAATGGAGAAAGTTTAGGAATCTCCGCCCATATTGTTTGGTCACTCCTAGAACCCTGGAGGGTAATGAAAAGAGAAGTCCTTCCAGTCTAGACAGCCCACACTAGTTGTGTAATTCCTGCAGATTCCAAGGAGCAGAGATAGGAACTGAATCTTTTACAACTTTGGGTTATATAGAGAATTGGTAATGTGAGAAGACAGTGTATTAACATCCTAAAATTCTGTTTTACAATTTCATCTCTAGCCAGCAGATTACAAAGGGAAAGGGAGGAGGAAGGACAAAGGCAGCCTTGCCAGACTGATCAGGTGGTCAGTCACATTTTTTGAGACTTGTGATGTCTGTGCTCTTTTGTTATTTTCTCTTGCATTCTTCTCTCATTCTGTGGATGTCTGGGCTCAGGCACCTTCATGAAATGCTGAACCTACTTTCTGCTGGTATCTACCTTGAACTCCTCCAGGGGCACCTGGGCTGTGGGAGAGGGATTAACTCAGAACAAACAAAGCATTAACAGTGTGTATGTGCTGATTTCTTTCTACAGTGTGGACTACACTTGTGTCTTTATCATACAGAATACGGAAGTGTCCCATGTGTTAACTTACAGTTTCTCTCTCTCTCTCTCTCTCTCTCTCTCTCTCTCTCTCTCTCTCTCTCTCTCTCTCTCTCTCACATGCACGCATGCACATGCACGCGCACACACACATGGACACACTCATACAACTAGTATCTCGCAACCTCAATCAGTTTCCAAAATCCCATGTCTCTGAGGTTCTTTTATTTCAATCTTTTACCATTTTCAATAGTGTCCAAAATTCAACCATTTCTGTTTTCCAACATGAGGCTAGTCAAAATGCGAGCTGAGCCTCTCCCACAAACATAGGGCCTGTTAGATGTTCGAAATCACATTGTGCATTCAGACTCACCTGTGGGTGATAAGTAGACACACAAATGCACCTCTATCCAGACAGCACCTCAGACTGACAACTCAACCCTGCATGAACACACCATCATCAGACAGAATGGGCAAGTGGGAGAGGCCTGGGAGTGTGGCAGAGCAGAGAAGGTGGGCCTGAGGTCGTGGGTGGTAGGAGTGCTTAGCCGGGAAGTGTTCTCTCGGTCTTGGGCCACAAACACAATTTTCATCCTCTAATTGCTTCATTTTCTAGAGAACGACACTAGACAGCAGTGGTGGGTGCTGGGGTGGAAATGCCTGGTGCTGGAGCAGGTGATCATGCCAATTACACCCTCTTTCCTCTTTTATTAGTCACCACAGGCCACCTTAAACAAGTCACTATTGCTGAAACTAAACTCATTTTCCTCCTCTGACAGAACTGGATTGCAAGGGCTCCTCACATAAGGTGTAGGAAGCACATTTACAGCTTGATTGTGTGTATCTGACCTCTTTTCTTCCCTCCCCTCTTACTCCCTCCCCCCTCTCCCCCTTTCCCTTTCCTTTCCTTTCATCCCCTCCCAGTATTTCAGTACTAGGGATCCAACCGAGGGCCTCACACAGGCTAGGTATATGCTCTCCCACCGAGCAAATCCTCAGGAAGTAATTATTCTTATTTTACAAATGACAAAAACCCTGGTGCACAAAGAGATTGACTGACCCAAAGTCAAGTAAATATGGGCCCATTACAAGTTGCCTTGGGATCTACCTCTTAAGTGCAGTCTGAACCACACAGGCCCAAACCATTTCCAAAGTTCCACTTTGACATGTTTCTTAAATCAGTGGATAAATGGCTTCCAACACTCAGTGTCCAGGAAGATGAAGAAGGCTGTGGAGTGGGGGTTGGCCGTGGGATCGCTAGGTGGGGTTTTCTGCTTCTTGGGCCTAAGGCCTCCTCCTCGGTGCAGGCTCCCCGCCCAGTCCCGGTGTTCGCGGCAGCTGTTGCCAGGCACTTCCTCCTCGCTCCCGCCAGTGCGCTCGGGAAGCCGCTCCTACGCCCAAAGTCGTGGCCACCCTGGAGGGAGGGGGCCGGAGGGGAGGTGTCGCAACCGCCTCCCTCCCTCTTTCCCCGCCTTGGCACTCAGTCACCTAGCAGATGAGCGCGCTAGCAGACGGCGGCGGGCGCCCGGGCGCCCGGCATGTCCCCTGAGCGCGTGCAGATGGCGGCCACTGGCTCTCTGCGCACCCTGGACCATGCCAATCACACCTTCTTTCCTTTTTTCTCCGACGTCAAGGGTGATCACCAGCTAGCGCTGAGCGCAGTGGAGACCACTGTGCTGGGAATCATCTTTGTAGTGTCACTGCTGGGCAATGTCTGTGCCTTGGTGCTAGTGGCTCGCCGACGGCGCCGCGGGGCGACTGCCGTCCTGGTGCTCAACCTCTTCTGTGCAGACTTGCTCTTCACCAGCGCCATCCCATTGGTGCTCGTTGTGCGCTGGACCGAGGCCTGGCTGCTGGGCCCGGTCATGTGCCACCTGCTCTTCTATGTGGTGACCTTGAGCGGCAGCGTCACCATTCTCACGCTGGCGGCTGTCAGCCTGGAACGCGTGGTGTGCATCGTGCGCCTACGGCGCGGTTTGAGCGGTCCGGGCCGGAGGGCACAGGCTGCGCTGCTGGCTTTCATCTGGGGCTACTCAGCTCTTGCTGCGCTGCCCCTCTGCATCTTGTTCCGCGTGGTCCCTCAGCGGTTCCCGGGCGAGGACCAGGTGAGAGCTGGCTACCTACACTACCTACAACGCTACAGGTGTGGGGGCGGGTGGGGAGGGGGCGGGGATCCGACGGAAGCGGGGAGCTGGGATGACAGTGATCAGCAACAACAAGAATAGGTCATTGGTTGCGTGCATTGAATCGCGTTTTGGCAGACCCAGTGCCCAACTCTGTGAAGTTTAATTTCTTATTTTGTCTACAGTCCTGCCGAGTGCTGTAAGTGGAGTATCCTAGATTGTTGCAAAATGCAGTGACCATTATGAGGCCAATGAAATAACTGGGAGCTTACAGCCAAGACAGTTACTAAGCCTATTCGAGGTGGCAACTCACATAATATAGTTTCTGCTTTCTCACCAGGTGTCAGGCTACTGTTATGATCATGCATGTTTTATAGACACAGTGTCTTCCTTAGATCCAGGAGGAGTTGGGATCCAAGTACAAATTTCCATGAAAGGCCTAGGGTCTGTTTGAAAGCCCAAGGGCAGGTGCGTGCAGACTTCCAGGGAGAAATGACATTGGAGACTCAGGGGCCACCCCAGACCCAACACTACCCTAAGAGACTGGTAACTTCCTCTCTCAGATCCTCTGTTTTTGACCATCTTCAAAGTGGAAGGATTCTACTAGGTCAATGACTTCTTACTCGGAGCCTTGACTAGGGGATGTCAAGATTTCCTGGGCTCTTCAAGATCTAGATTCCAGAGCTCAGCTGAAGAGCTTTGATCTGGGCAGTGTAGCCATGTAGCCGTAGCAGTTGACATTAGAGTCACAGAGGGACTGTGATCAGTCAGTGGGCAGGAAAGTGATTTGCTGTGTGTCTTTTGCTCTCGCTTGTGTCCAGGATAAAGAGAAAAGGCAAGAAAAGTCTGGGCTCATAACCCCGAGGTGTGAGGTTGAGTAGTCCCTGGCCCCTTAGCTTTCAGCCTGAGGCTGGGTTCTTAGCCACTCCTTTTCCCCTCTAGGTCACTGGTTTTCTGCTTCTCAGGTGAGAATTCTCACCCTAGGCCCAGGGAGGCAGAGTGGGACACCAGGAACAAATAAGAACTGCAGTCCCCAAAAGAAGCTCCACAGTGGGGGATGCCACCTGGGGGAAGGGTTCGTACTTTGGGGCTGAACATAGTATGACCAGAAACCTTCTGGACTCTGGACACATAGAAGGACTTCATGGGAGAATGGGGGTCCACATACCAATCATACTTGCATTTTATTGAGGGAGGATGGATGAAAGCTACATTCTGAGCAAACAGTATGTTAATTCAAAATCAAACCATAAAGCCTATTCCTGGTAGTTTATTTTTTGTGTAGAATACTTTGGAGAGAGGTGTTTCTTTGATTTTGACTTTGAATAACCAATGAGCAGGAACCAGTCAGGCCTGTGGTACTTGATCAAACAACATGTAAACTGTGGCCATGTCTGAAGACAGATGGGGCCCAGGAGAGCTGGGATTAGCTGAGTTAATGGGTGCTGCTGCCTTGGGGAGACTCTAGCTCACTCCAGGCTTGTCCTTAGCCTGGATACACCTGTACAGTGGAGCGGGCCACATACATACTTGTGGAATAAGTGAAAGCTCGGACCTAACCCGATACCAATGGGATCAGCTAGGTCACAGGCATATCCAATCTGTGTCTAGTTGGCTGTATGCTACCAAGGATAACTATGAATGTGGCCCAACACATTTGTAGATGACAATGTCATATCACAATGTTAAAAGGTTAGATACCCCTGACAGGAGAACAGCTCTGCCATCAGTTTATTTTTTTTAATTTATTCTCACTGAGTTGTAATATTGCTATATTTTTCACAAATTCAAGAGATTTCTCCTCATTCTTAACACAGAAAAAAAGGAGATTCTGAGAATTAAGATCAAATTGGGGTATTTAAAAATTTCCAGATCTTCATTTTGTTTTTAAAAATATTATTTATTATTTTTATTTTATTTTAGGTATGAGTGTATTGCCTGCATGTATTAAGTGCATCTGAGTCAGGCAATGCCCATGAGGTCAAAAGAGGGTGTTGGATCCCCTGGAACTGGAGTTACAGACAATTGATAGCTGCCATGTGGGTGCTGGGAACTGAATCTAGGTCTTCTGTAAGAGCAGCCAGTGTTCTTAACTGCTGAGCCATCTCTCTAGCTCCCAAGATGTTTATTTTGTACTGTCTCTTTCAAAATTCACTCAGGCACAATCCTATTTAACATTAAGAAAGAAAGCTCTTGTCCCCTCCTAGCCAAAAGCCCAGACTAAAACTGTGTGCTAACTTGGACACTGGGGACTGAGTAAGAAGTTTTTGCATGTGGTGGCCATTCTGTTCTCAGCCCCTGGGAAGGAATGTGTGTAATTGGAGCTCTTTCCAGCATGTTCAGAATTTTGCTGCAGGTGTTTCTGTAGACATCATGGTTAGACATTTGGACACAGGTCTTGTTTTTTGTTTTTGCTCTTTTTGAAACAGGGTCTCCTGTAGCCCCAGCTGGCCTGGAACTCACTATGTTGACTAGGCTGGCCTTGAACTCACAGAGATCCGCCTGCCTCTGCCTCCCTAGGCCTGGGATCAAAAGTGTGTGCCACCATGCCCAGCTCACACATCTTGTTTTAATGAAGAAACACCTTCTTGGTTTCAGGGCCTTTGGCAAGGCATCTGGGCAAAGCCACTGGGGCAGAATGGACTGACACTGCTTTAGGGCCAGGTGAGTTAGTTACCTACAATAGAAATTAGTAGAGGTGGGATGGGAAAGCTTGCAATAAAGAATGGGACAGTCCCTTCTGGTTCTCCATCTTCCTTGTCATCTCTACCTATATGTCACCCTGCCTTCTCCCAGTATCCCTATTTCTCACTGAGCTATCCTTTCTCTCATAGAATACAATGGTTCCCTCTTTTCTGAGGTTTCACTTCCCACTGTTCAATTACCCGCAGCTTCAGTTACCCATGGACAAGTGGCCATAAAATATTAAATGGAGCTCCAGAAAGAAAAATATCCTAAGTTTTCAATAACTTTTATTTCAGTCTATTTTTGTAATTTATTATTAGTCTATGGTTAATCTCTCACTGTGTCTAATTCATGATTTAAATTTTATCCTGCAGGTATATGTATAGAAAAAAAGGTACATACAAGGCTCAGTCCATCTGTGATTTCTAGCATCTACCAGGGGTTTGGGAACATATCCCCCTTGAGAATAAGGGGACCACTGCATTCTGTACTCATGCCAAAGAAGTCTTAAGATGGAGAAACTTCTCAGTTCCTCAAGGGTTGTTACCTGAGTTTGTGGGAAGCATTCCACTTTATAAACTCAGCAGTTGAAGAAACAATTTGAAAACAGTGAGAGACAATTGAGGAAGATGACCACTTAAGAAAGACAGTGACAGAGAAGGATCTGGTCTAGACTGAGGTTACTCTCACATTTAAAATTGCAGAGGCCAGATGTGGCAGCTCACCCCTCTGATCCCAGCACTCAGGAAGCTAAGGTAGGATTGCCATGAGTTTGAGGTTGCCTGGGCTACATAGTGAGACCCTGTCTCAAAATAAGTAAATCACTAAATAAATAAATGGAACAAAAATAGCAAAGTCTGTTTTTTAAGTCTGCAGATTAACAGCTTCCTGCTTGTGGTACTCGCTCATCCTTTCCCAGTAAGGTGCTAAAAATGGAGGTTTTGGAAGGAGGACATTTTCCTCCCCACAAACCCAGAGTACAAACAGTCCTTCTGGTCCAGGGAAACAGTGCCCCTTAGAGCTTTTTACCCTCATGAGATTTCCCTTAAAACAGGAACATGAAGCCCTTCATCCATGTGAGCTGTAGGTGCCTTGCCATCTAGGGTAGCTGATAGGCATGCCGGTAATGTCAGTCAATTTGGTACTTAAGTGTGGGCTCTGAACTCCCACATTTGGGAGCATGCGGGAGCTGTCCCACAGAGGGCAAGGCATTCCACTGGGCTACACCACACTTTCCTTGTTTGCATAATGGGTCTGAGACTGGTATCAACTGCATGGAATTGCCATGGGGACTCATGTTTGATAAATGGGCCCACACCTGGCTCATGTAAGTTAAGTGCTCAAGAATTGCTAGGTATTACTAGTTTCCTTATCTTGGGGCATAAACATTTAAACATTCTTCAAATAGTGTAATTCTTCTGATTGCTGTCAACACAATCAGCTGCCATGTCAAGAGGATGGACAGTTCTTAGCAACACTGACTTCTCCACCAGGTCAGTTCAGCCTCTTCCTATGGGATGACTGCCTGTGTGTGCCATGGCCCTGGCCGAATGGTGACCTGCACTGGTGGGTGGAAGACTGTTCATTTTGGCTAGATTATGCTGTCCATTCATTCCACAATCATTTGCTGAGCACCCTTCCCTCTTTCACCACCACAAGCCACATAAACACATACCAGGAGGTACTCTACTGAATGTGCCAATGGTCCCAGATGCTAGCCTGATTCTGCAGGCCAGTACAGTCTGTGGTCTTGTCACCCACAAAGTAAATAGATGGTCTTACATTTATTTTCTGAAGGGGAAATGACCAAATTCAGGCAAAGAATATGGCTAGACTATACCCTGACTCTAATCCTTCTGTGTCATCTTCCCCGAGTTCATGATTCTTGTGGGCATTTGGTTCCTTTACTCCACCCTTCCCTGTTGCCATGTAGGGTCAGTAACGTTATCCTGTCTCTGTTGAGTGTAGATTGTCTGAGGAGACAAGCATCCTTTGCTTGCCTTTGGTAATAAACATTAGGGAATACTTTTTAAAAGTTTGTGTTGGCCCTTCCCCTAATCCTGATACTTAGGAGATGAGACGGTGTGGGGGGGGTGGCAGTGAATCATAAAGGCCTACCTGAACTGTATAGTGAGTTCAAGGCCGTCCTGGGCAACTTAGTGAGACTCTATCTCAAGAAAAAAGTTGAGGACTGGGCATATAGTTCAGCTGGTAGAGTGCTTGCCTAGCATGTACAAGGCCTTGGGTTTCCATATAAACCATATAAACCAGGCATGATGATCCACATTGTAATCCCT